GGTGTCGTGGTGTGCCCCCGCCGCAGCGGAGACAAATATTTGGGCGAGGTCCCTCTTTCCTCCCACACGCCCGTTTTTTTTTTTATGGAAAGGGGGGGGGGGGGCTCCCTGGGATTTTACTCTCCCCCTCAAGATCACCCTAAGAGAGGCTTCTCCAGCTTGGGGCTTCCTGAGCTTTTGGGCTCCGAGATGTCAGTGGCGGCATGTTGGGTGAGCACATCTGAAGTCTTGAAGCTCTTGTGCAGAGTCACCCCAGAGAGCTTTCCCTTTGTCTGGCCTTGTGTTGTCCTTGACACACCCCCACAAGGCACCCTTTCCATGGAGCCTGAATCCCACAGGAAGTCCCCCCCCACCCTTGGGAGTCTATCATGGCCCTGGATCTGTGACCAACTGCCTCAGTTTCCCACTTTGGCCCAGAGGGTCCTGGGGGTGGCTGTTGTTCTGGAAGACATGGAGGGCTGGCGACTGGACTCCCGGGTTCTCTGGGTGTGTCCCATCCCTGAACCTCGAAGTAAGCAAAGGAGCCAGGTTGGTACAGGAACATAAACCAAAGGCCACCCGGGCGAAGGGTGCGCCCACCGAGTTCTCCACAAGGAGCAAGTCCTGCAGCGGATGATATCCGGCCATCTTGCCAGCTTTGCTCTGCCCTGAAGCCTCTAGCTTTTCAAGCCCACATCGTGTGTCCTCCGACCCGTGTCCTGCACGTGGGACATCCCTCCCTCCCTGCACAAGGTGCCCTTCTCCAAGAGGGAGGAATGGTCTGATTTACCGAACAGGTCTGCTGGCCGCATCGGGGTCCATCGCGGTGACCACGCCCACCAGGGAGCCCACCAGCGCATCTTCCTGTACCTCCAGCAGGCCACTGGGGGCCTGGAACTCGGGGGGTTCATCCACATCCAGCACAGAGACCAGCACTACGGTCTGATCCCGGAAGGCGCCCAAGTCCATAAAGTGGGGGTCAGCAAACTTATTCAGGGCCTCCAAGACCACGGTGTGGACAGCCTGGGCCTCGAAGTTCAGAGGCTGAAACAAGAAACGAGTGGATGGGCGGGGGTTGCACTCCCCTATTATCCCCCCCCCCCGTGACTGATGCCTTGCGTTGAGAAAGTGGGCATACACAGGGCAGGGGAAAATCCGTCCCCAGCCAAAACCTTCCCTGTAGCCCCCTCCCCAAAGGATTCAGTCCACCACAGAAGGCAAGGGAAACTCCGCTGCAGCAGTCCCGTGGGCCTCCCGGGGAGGGAAGATGTCCAGGACTCACCTTCTGCAAGGAGATCAGCGCTTCCTGTGTGCGGCTGTCTGTGGCCACCTGGAAGGGTCCCAGGGCCCCCTCGTCCTTGATCTGATAGGCCATGTCTGTGTTCTCACCCACATCTGCATCCTCTGCCTTCACTCGCCCGACCAGCGTGCCCACCGGGGCCGTTTCCACCAGGCTGAACTGGTACATCTCTGGCGGGTGGGGGGGTCAAGAGGATGGAAGAGCTGAATTCCGACAGACAAAAGGGGGCTGTTCCTGCCTCTAAAAGCAGCCCGCCTTGCCCTTTCTTGGAAGGAGATCAGGGGCGAATGGCACGGGGCATCCTGCAGCCTTCAAAGGCCCCCTCCCCCGTTTAAGCTCCCAGAACCACTCGATGGCTCAGTCTCTCCAGCCCCCACCAAGCTTTGCATGGGTGACAGTGACCAGGCCCTGTGGCGGCGAGGCTCCTCTGGACCTGTGGCCCCCAATCCAGGCCAGCAGCCCATTTCCAGTCCCCAAGCCCAGCCCTGCTGTGATCATTCTCACTCCACCGCGACCCCCACCCCCCAAAGCCCCAGGCAAGAGCCCTTACTCTGTGGAAAGCGAGGAGGGTTGTCGTTGACATCAGTGATGACAATGGTGACGGTTGTGGAGCCAGAGAGGCCCCCCAGCTGCCCAGCCATATCTGTGGCCCGGACCACCACCTCATAGCGGTCCTGGGTCTCCCGGTCCAGGTTGGCCACGGCCGTCCGAATCACCCCTGGAAGAGGCCATTGGGGGTCTCTGAGAGGAGGGCCCTGTGCAAATGGACGCCCCCCCATTGCACCACCATCTTCCTTGCTGGTCTCCCTCCCCTTCCAAGCAATCCCACCCCTGCCCAGAAGCTCCACGCAGCCACGGCGGGCGGCTTCCCTCGTAAGACGGGAGGATCAGAGAGGGGGCGACAGGACCCCTGGAGGAGGGCAAGAGGCAGGGAGCTCTGGGACGGTGGCTTGGGGCCACTTCGTTTGGCAGCTTCTGCTCAGGGGACCCTGCGGGGCTCCTCAGCTGGCCAGAGGGCTCAGGGCATCTTAAGCTCTGTCCAGGGGGAGCTTCCAACCAAGCAGCAAATGGGGACTGAGTTCCTGGGCTCCTTTGGAGGGAAGACACCTGCAAAGGAGCCTGGACCCAAATGGAAGGGGGGGAACCTCCCCATAGGGCGATGCCCCTCCTTCTGGGAGCCAGGAAGTCCGCATGGGAACGGAGTACGCAGCGTGCACAGACATGCCCAATCCCAACGAGGACAGATCCGTAGCAGAGGAAAGCCCGCTGCTTCATGGCCGACAGATCATATAGCCGGGAAGCCCCTCCTGACGTCCAGCTTGAACCCGCTCCTCGTAGTTCCAGCTCGGGGCGAGAGAACATAAGCCCGTGCTCTCTTCTGAGAGACGCTGGCCACAGCAAAGGCTTAGGGAAGAAAGAAAAGACAGGAAAAAGGCAGGGAGGCCTCCAGAGCCGGGCATCAGGGATTCTTGCCAGTGCTTTACCCGCAGCAGCCATAGGTGCCCCTGCCTTTTCGCCTGCGCTTAACGAAATAACGGGTGGCACGTGAGTGTTTCTGCTCCCTCCTTGTGTGGTTTGCGTGGGACGGAGACCAGCTGTGGGATACGGGCCTGCACAAGCTGCATGGGGAATAAGGGGAGATGCTGCTCGGTGCCTCGAGGAGGCCAGTCTGCACTCCTGCAACTGAGCAGCAGGGTCCCTTTAAGACGCCCTAAAACGGGGCCATTGCCAAGTCGGCTGTTCCAGGAGAAACGCTCCCCCTCCTGCAGCAAAATGTTGGGCTAACAAATCAAGGAGCCCAAACGCTGCTCTTGCAGGCAAGTTTAAAACTCCCACGTGGACCAGAGAAATATGATTTCTGGTCACAACAAACGGGAACATCTTTCAGACACTCTAAGTTACTGTACTTGAGAACAGTGGGCCATGGAGCTGGCAAAAAACCAGGAGGACTGAGGGCAAGCTGCTAGGGAAAGGCGTCTCGGCCAAAGAAAGGGAGAACTGGGTGCGCCCCTCAGGCTCCCGTCCTTCCACCCTGGGTCCCAGAGCCAGCCAGAACGCAGCACCCCCCACAAAATGGGCAAAGCACGCGACACGGCACAGCTTCGGCCACACCCTTCGGGCCCTAAGACAGACCTAGCAGAGCAGCTGCTGGGAGACTTGGAAGAAGAGGTTAGGGACAGATAGTCATGAGAAGATCTGTCTCTGTGGTCACCAGGAGTCGAAAATGACCGGATGGCACCTCCTCAGTGAATCCATCCGTCCTTCAGCAGAGCAAAGGAACCATGAGGTCGCCTAAGACCAAGCAGGATAGGCAGGCTGACGGGTGGATCCCTGTGACAGGAGGAGATGTCCTGATGGGCCACTCTAAGAGGTTTGGGGGAAGAGTTGGAAGTGGCCTGGCAAAATAAGGAATGTGGATAAAGCAAGAAGTATGGATGGGTTCGATCAGAGCCAGTTTAGCTGCGACTGAGGTGGGGCTGCCACCAAACCGTGTTGCCAGCCTAGGAGGTTCCCAAGGTGTTCTGCACAGGTGCAGTCCCCAGGTTTGTGAAGCACAGAGATCCCAGTGAACACAGCTTCACAGCAAAGTAATGGAATAAAGCAACTGAGAAGCATCTCACTGGCACATTACAACCAACTATAAAAGGAAGTGGAAAAGTGCTAGGATGGTGGTTGGAGCACTGGATCAGAAGGGGTTAATGGCCTGCTAATGGAAGACGGCGACAAGGCACTCCAGCCAGCCAGTGGCAGAAGGTGCCAGAGCTCTTCTTCCCCCAAGGAAGAGGATCCAAGGATGTGGCAGATGGTGGTGACAAGAGACGAACTTCTAAACCTTCCTGACAAACTCAGAAGAAAATAAACCCACTGATGGTCTCCATGCAAGGATTCTCTTAACCTGGATGCTGGGAGATTCCAGGTGGGTGAAAGAAACCTTTCTTCACAAGGCAGCTGAACTGTGGAATTTGCTGCTACAAGATGCAGTGATATCCAGCAAGTTGTATGGTCTTACAAAGGGATCGGACACATTTACAGACGATAATGCTATCAAACAAGGGACTCTCTCCCAGCAGAGAGGCATCTGTCATCTATAGTGTTTTACTTCTGCTGGTTGCTAAAGACTCACCTGCTTTTTCCAAGCTTCTGGTTCCCTCTGATATGTCTCCTTCCCACTGTTTGGTAGGGAGAACGTTGATGCTGAAGATCTTTCAACTTTTGTTGTTTGGATCTTTACGCTTTTCAAAGACTTTGTGATTTTGTTAAGAATAATCACAGACTTTCCCAGGACTAAGACCCGTGCCACTGCTGGGTATTAAACACCAGTAGCTGGTCCCCGTGCCCCAGCCCTGCCACTTGGCCAGGATGGAAGCAGCCCAGCCTTGCTCCCACTCCCTCTTCTCAGGCCTCTTCAGCACTGACCCTTGGGAAACAGGACACTTCAACCAGCTAGATTTGCTGAGGGACGACTACAGGGAGGCCAACAGTCCCACCCAATGGCTGGATCCTCACAAAGGGCGGAGACCAAAGCCCAGACACACGAGACACAACCGAGGTGCTCCTATGACATGCTACGTCCAAATAAACCCTGTCACGATTTAAAGGGATGGCCTGTCACACCACTGCTGAGGCAGCGGCTGGGTCCTCACAACATGCTGAACCCCTCTGGCAGCCCCTGGGTGCCAGGCACGGGAGGGGGCATGCTTCAGGGTCACTTTGCTGAGCCTCGGGAAGGGAGGAGGAGTGGGCTCTGCCTCTCTCTGGGCTGTAGCCTGGACCCCTGAGGAAGCCTGTCTGTCCTGGGCGATACTTCTGCTGCCGGTTCCTTTATCAGCTAAGAGAAGCACCAGCTGCTTGCTAACTCGTGAGATCAAAACGAAGATCCGCCTGATGAACTCTGGCTATAAATAGCTGCCGCCCCAGAGAAATGGGGAGAGTTTGGGGAAAGGACGTGCAGAGGAGGGGGCGGGAGGGCCAGGTTGCCTAGAAGAACGCAGACAGGTGGAGCTGCAGTCGGGAAGGCAAAGGATCCCAGCGCAGGATGCTAAGAATAACAAAAAGAGGCACTTCAGGGATGTTCAGTAAAAGCAAGGGAAAAGGATCCGAGCTGTGGCCAGGTAAGTTGAAATCAGTCCGTCAATGCCGGCCGCTCAATGAAGAAGGCCTCACCTGGCCAGCCAGGCAGCCTACCCGCTGGGCCTCACAGGCCCCAGGAGGCAGAGGACCCGAGGAACCAGCCTCCCTCGCTGGAGCCCATCGGTTCCGAAGGCGGCCACAACAGAAGGCTTGACAGACATGCAGGAGCTGGCCAGGAAGCCGGCTTTGCCTCATGGTCGCCGGCAAGTTGAAGTGCGGTCGGGGGGAGCGGCTGGATGCCTTGGCCAGAGACGCACAGCAGGGCATCCGAGCTCTGACGGGTCCAGAGGGGCACCCTTGGCACCACCGTCAGAGCTTGGCCAGGGAGACTGCGGTGCCCAGACCCGGCCGTGTCAAGAAGAGGGAGCAGGCAGAGGGGTGGGACGGTCCTCCACCAGCTCCAGGGCACAAGGAAGCCCAGACTCCAGCAGGCCCCTCCTGCTGAGGATGCTCCTCCCCGCTGACTCCTGGCCGCGCCTTTCTCCCTCAGAGCCAGCCTGGCATCTTCCTCCTGTCCTTGGCACAGGCAGATGTGCATGCCCAGACCCTGGGGTATTTTCCTTTTATTGATTTACTCATTTATTAAACATATTTCTATGCCACCGCAATCCAAAAATACTCTTGGCAGCTTGCATAGAACAGATATGGGCTAAAACATCCATGGTAGGAATAAAAGAACTCTAAACACAATAAAAATAAAAACCGTACAATATACACCATAAAGTACAAATAGAATAAATAGAAATAAAGATGGCCACGTTTTGACACTCGCCTGGATCTCCCGCAACTGACGGGGGCAGGCAGTCCCAGTCGCTCTGCCAAAAGAAGGGCAGCCTCGGGAGCCTGTGAACGCCGGGCAGCGCGGGCGGCGACCCCGGGGCCACCTTGGCATCGTGTTCTTTCACCAAGGCCCTGCAAAACCTGGGGTTGGTCTCCTCCCCAGGCAGCCACAGTCAACATGAATTTCAACCGCCTCAAAACCCTCTGGTTAGTGGGTGGGTGGCGGGTAGAAATGTTTAAATTAAGTAAGATGTGGAGGAGGAAAAGTGGGGAGGGCAGCTTCTTCTAGGACTGCTGCTGGCTGGAGTCTTTCTTTCAGGAAGGGAGGGACCAACGCTGCTTCCCCGCAGTGTCACTGGCCTGAGAAAGGCCAAGAACAACAAGGTGATCTGCTCCTCCTGCAGCTGAGAGCTGCTCTTCCAGCCAGAGCAGTTGCCCTGGCCTATGTGGACAAGGGACCCGACCAGGCGAAGGCAACTGCTTCCCACCTTCTGAAGTCCAGGAAGCACTGGCCACATAACCCATGAGGCTGCCTGAGACCAGAAGGCTTGGAGCACCGGGTGTATTCTCTCCTCGGTCCCATCCGTAGGTACATCCAGGAGACGCTACCTACTCCGTGGCTGTTCCAGAGCCAGACTGGGGTGGGGGCAACCTCCTTTGCATGTCTGGGGTGGCCTGACGCTAAACCCCAAGTGGTCTGGTCATTAGATACCTGTTTCCAATTTGTGTCAGCAAATTGGGAACTTGGAATGAGGCAGGCTTTGTCCAGAGGCAGGTGGCCTCTCCCTCCCTCCCCCCCCCCCCCCCCCCCCCCCCCC